CGTGTTTATATAATACCACTGGTACTTGAATAAGAATTGCAGAAATGGCCCTGCCCCGCGCCGCCCGGCCCCCTTCACAGAGTTCATCACTCCTAGCGGAAGCGCCGCCAGCATGTCTGATAAACTGCCCTACAAAGTCGCGGACATCGGACTGGCTGCCTGGGGACGGAAGGCCCTGGACATAGCTGAGAATGAGATGCCAGGCTTGATGCGCATGCGGGAGATGTACTCAGCCTCCAAGCCACTGAAGGGTGCTCGCATTGCTGGCTGCCTGCACATGACTGTGGAGACTGCTGTCCTCATCGAGACTCTTGTGGCCCTGGGTGCTGAGGTGCGGTGGTCCAGCTGCAACATCTTCTCTACTCAGGACCATGCAGCAGCTGCCATTGCTAAGGCTGGCATTCCAGTGTTTGCCTGGAAGGGCGAGACAGATGAGGAGTACCTGTGGTGCATTGAGCAGACGCTGCACTTCAAGGATGGACCCCTCAACATGATTCTGGATGATGGTGGTGACCTTACTAACCTCATCCACACCAAATACCCACAGCTTCTGTCAGGCATCCGAGGTATCTCTGAGGAGACCACAACTGGGGTCCACAACCTCTACAAGATGATGGCAAATGGGATACTGAAGGTGCCTGCCATCAATGTCAATGATTCTGTCACCAAGAGCAAATTTGACAACCTCTATGGCTGCCGGGAGTCCCTCATAGATGGCATCAAACGGGCCACAGATGTGATGATTGCGGGCAAGGTGGCAGTGGTAGCAGGCTATGGTGATGTGGGCAAGGGCTGTGCCCAGGCCCTGCGGGGTTTTGGGGCCCAAGTCATCATCACCGAGATTGACCCCATCAATGCACTGCAAGCTTCCATGGAGGGCTATGAGGTAACCACCATGGACGAGGCCTGTAAGGAGGGCAACATCTTTGTCACAACCACAGGCTGTGTTGATATCATCCTTGGCCGGCACTTTGAACAGATGAAGGACGATGCCATTGTTTGTAACATTGGACACTTCGATGTGGAGATAGATGTGAAGTGGCTCAATGAGAACGCCGTGGAGAAGGTGAACATCAAGCCCCAGGTGGACCGCTACTGGCTAAAGAATGGGCGCCGCATCATCTTGCTGGCTGAAGGCCGTCTGGTCAACCTGGGTTGTGCCATGGGCCACCCCAGCTTCGTGATGAGCAACTCCTTCACAAACCAGGTGATGGCACAGATTGAGCTGTGGACCCACCCAGATAAATACCCCGTTGGAGTTCACTTCCTGCCTAAGAAGCTGGATGAGGCAGTGGCTGAAGCCCACCTCGGCAAGCTGAATGTG